ACATTCTTTTTTTCTTCATTTTTCCTTGATTTTTGCATGAGTTCCATTCGTTTACGCTCCTGCGACTGCACGGAATTTTGCTGATGGATTCGAAGGCACATGACGAATTATTTTTTTCAGGCAAAAAATAACTTTCTAAAAGGATTACTCGATTATGCCATTAGTGGGTATTAAACTTCTTTTTCCTTCGGTTTTTTTTTTCTCTTTCAATTTTTGTGGATATTTTTTATTTCTTGGGAATTAGAAGTGAATTAGTTAAATACGGATCTCGATGTATAATCACACTCCATCAACCGCAAACTCGTTCACGTCCCTCGGGTTTTTCCCTCCCCGATCTTCTGGTGGATTACAAATTGCAAATTAAAATCCGTGATTCAGGGATATCAAAGGAATTCCGTACTTTCTCGGGGTGACTCTAATCAATATTCACTCGATGATGCTACGATATATCATGCTTCATCCCTACTACATTCTACTTTACATCCGTGACAAATTGTCATTGGGTTTTCTTATAGAGACATATATCATGTTTTATGATCGCAAATTGAAACGTGCTAGGCTTTCAGACTCAGTTTAAATCACCTTTTGAGAGCAATGTAATTAAGTGGGATTTTTCTCATTATCGGGGAAGGGGACATGATCATTTATTCTGCGGGACTATTTTTTTTCCCGTTGCAGTGGGTAATTTAGTGTTATTGATTCTGGTAATTTTGAGGAGATGGATTTAGAGGTTTTAGAATTACGTTATCATGTCGTGAAATGACAGGGGAATTTCATATTTTATAAACCAAGGAAGAATTAAGGAAGAATTTTAAAATGTTTAAAAGTTTTTTTTTTCATTTGGGAATATTTTTGATGATTTTTTTTTCTCAAAAATTACTTTCCTTTTTCGCATTTGGAATAATTCGATTTTTTGAGTATCAATTTTAGAGATTTTCCTTCTGAAATTGACTCCATTGTCTTTTATTCCAAGGACAATGCACCGCACGAACATTCAATGACATTCTGCATTTTTCAATCACAATATAAATATTCAGTATCGAATGACGCGGTATTGTCAATTGATTGACGATCAAAAAATTAATTTACCTGAATTTTCCTCATTTTTTTTTTACTTTCACGAAATAATTGAACTAAAATGCACAATTTCCATTGGTTTTCCACCAAATAGTGAAATTTCAGTGACGAAATTCCTCAATATTTCAGTGAAGCAGTCACTCGATAAAAATATCTAAATAGACTGTTAGAAATTTTTTGAAATTTCATGGAAGATATTATAGTAAATCTCATGAGAGTGACATTGATACGAATTTAGGGAAAACATGGTTATGAAATGTCAAGTTTCAAGGAGAATTCACGGAAACTCATGAGTTTTCAGTGCGAGTGAGATGGAAATGTCACAGTTTTATTGAGTTTTCAGTGGAACATGAATATTCAGAAATAAAATTACACGAATTTTCAATTTTGCCCTGCACTTGTCTGTTTTTTCTGAATTTCCACAGAATAATTGAATTTCACATTTTTTAAACACTAAAAAACGTCTGAACAAAATGAAAATTTGTTTGATTCTCAAATATTAATTAAGATGTTTGGGCGCCTGTTCGTCTGAAATTCAGACACATTTTCATTTAATTCAGAAGTTTTTTAGTGTCTGAAAAATGTCTGCAAAAGTTGTGTGAAATTAAAACATTCGTTTGTGCTGTGCAATTCCTTCAACAAAAAATCAATGGAATATTTGATTTTTCAATGACAAGATTTCCTAAAATTTCCGTGCAACTTCAACACGATAAAAATTTCCGGAATTTGTCCCGGAAAATTCAGACGTAAATTATTAACAGTGAAGAATCCCAAAAAATGACCAAAAGACTTGAAAAAGTGACATTACACCCACGAGTTTCTCAACACCACAAACTCCCCTCCGAAAACTATAAACTTTTTGCCCCTGTGTTGTAGGTGGCTTAGAATTACCATAAGTATAACCAAAGGGAAGGTGTTCACATTGGCCTAGTGCCAAGTAACTTAGCTTGTCGGAAAATTAATTACCCAGTCCCTCCAATCTAACGGTTCTCCCAGCTCTCGGACTGCAACATCAGGATCATGCTATATTACATATCTGCGAACGCATGACCCATGCATATCATACACTATCGTGCATTAGAATGTATAGTTATGTTCACCCGTGCAATGGAAAAGGACAGGACGGTGTGTAGAGGGCCCCCAAGTTGAGCTTCCAGTTGCGATTTTATCAGATTTTATTGCAGATTTACAGTTGGCGGTCCAGAGTTGATGTTGGTTTAGCGCCGATAATCGACCATGAACGGCCTGACGTGTACCCACGCCCGTTGGGCTGTTAATGCGCCGTGAAAAGGGCGGGATTTTCACGAGAAAATAACCGGTCATTATGGTGACTACGGTATCAAACCATTTGTCAGTACATTAGTAGGCTACTGTTTCGATATAAATCAGTGGCAAATTGATTCTCGGAGGTATTGTATTACTTCCGAGAATCAACGGTTGTCACTGGCTTTTTCTTCAGACAAAATTCTGGGAATTATCTTCATTCTTGAATGGAAGTTCCTGGAAGGATAGACCTTTTAAAAGTCAACAAACGCGAGGGGAATCCCGTAGAATTCTCGGAATAGTGGAGGAGACTGTTTTAGAAATTTGAATGGAGATCTCTCTTTTCGGGATAGAGCAGTAGTTTCTGATGGTAGTTTGACACGATTGCGGTTTCAAGGTCCATTCGAGGGAGTGGTTATTGCTATAAGAATTTCTTGGGGCTATTTGGATTAGAGAGAGAATATTCATGCGCATAAACTTGCAGCACTTGACACTAATGATATTCTGGAGAGCGAAAATCTCGAGGTATTTTCGATCAAGGGTTAATTAGAGGTTGAGAATTGCTGCATGGGGAATCTTTTGTTTTGTGGGAATTGCGGAATTACGCGGAGAGGCAAATTCAGCAGAGGATGGTTTACCGGAATTGAATGAATTTTATTGGAATCTAATGAAATTATTTACATTGAAGATGATAATCTTTTAATTTGAACAAAAGTTTTTTTGATGCATGTAGACGCTTTATTAATTGGAAATAAAATAATTCTGGCACATTTTTCGGAAATTATTATCACATTTTAGTTTCGTTGAAATTTCACGGAATTTCTTCACTGAAAATTCGGAATTTCATGGAGAAATCAATGGGAACTGTTTAATTCAGTTCACTTATTCCCTGAAAATTATTAGAAATCAAGAAAATTTCGGTGAGAATAGTCTTGAATTTTCTTTTAATTGAAACTTCAGCGTAATTCGGCCCTAAATATTCATGATTACATGAAAAATTTAAATACGTTGAGAAATTCTCATCTGAGTACTGTTCAAAATTTTGAAATTGGAATGAAATTAAATCGCATTCGATGTCACACTCCTAGAAATGACTAGTCAACTGTCCATGAAATTTCAATTTTTTTCTAACAGTATTCTCGGACAGGATTTCTTCCTACATTCACTGGTTTGCGATTATAAATTATGTCACTACCTGTGGGAGCTCACATGCACGGAATCCCGCGTCTGAGACGCATTGATGAGATCAGGGGATCATGAAATTGTGGGGTTATAAATATGTGGGCGTCCCGTCCGTGGCTTCTAGGGAGCCCCGAAGGTGTTGATATAATTTATAGGCACTGGACGATGGGTGTGAGGAGAGATCGAGCCTCAGACCAAAAAGATTTGCAAAAAATTATAAGCATATGCTATTTTAATTAAAAGGCGTCGCTTTATTATTTTTATGTGGAGAAATGTTAGTTAATTGATCCGGTATTAGGTAATGACCGCGAGTTGATGAGGTTTGCGAGTGAGAATCATTTGGTATTTGAAGCCAATATCCTGAGAATACAAAAAGTCAGATATTATTTGAGTAGAGATCATTCGGAAAAGTTTTGATTCTACTTGATAAAAAATGATCTTCTTTGAGGGAAGAATTATCGTTTTTATCATCGATTTATTTTTTTTGTGTCAAGCTTTGAATTCCTGCAAAAATTCCTGGAAATCCAAGAATCGCAAGGAAATTCTGTGAAAATTCAAGGGAAAGTTGCAGTGAATATTCATTTTCACCTGAAAATTCACTCAAATTGCGGAATTTCCGTCTTTTTGCTGCAAAAAAATTGGGACTTTACTCGAATTTTCAGAGAAACTTGAAATTCCATTGACTTCACTTTAAATCGATTTCAGGGTCTTTTCCCGGAAAATTCAGCTAAATTTTTTCCACAGTGTGATAATTCTCATGAAAGTGATATTGCATCCGATTTAGAGGAAAAATGATTATGAAATTTCAAGTTTTACGTAGACTTCAAGGACATTCATGACTTTTCAGTGGGAGTGAGACGGAAATTTCACAACTTGATTGAATTTTCAATGGAGCATGATAATTCAGAAACAAAATAACACAAATTTTCAATTTTTCCCTGAACTTTCCTGATTCTTTCGAATTTCCATGGAATAGTTGAACCGAACAATCCCGTATTTGATTGATTTTCAATGAAATATTTGATTTTTCAATGACAAGATTTTCTGAAATTTCCGTGAAAATTAAGCACGATAAAAATTCTCGAAATTTGACACGGAAAATTCAGGCGAAAATTTTTAACAGTGTAGAAACTGATCAGTACATGCAAAAAAAGGTTTATTTGATTCTAATAGAGGATTTATTTGATCCAAATGAAGTTTATTTAATTCAAATAAACAATTCTTCTGGATGTAATGATAACCATCATAACATAATAGTCTCGGACTCTTATCAACGCCTCAAAACACTTATGACATTGAAACAATTCATAATGTCAACACACGTGACGGTAGTGCGTCGAAAGTTACGATGACAAGTGCAGTAAATAGACGATCTAGGGCAGAGAGTCAACTATCAATCGATTTATCGCCTGTCGATGGAGCGATAGATCTATTTAAGCGTCTATCTGATCGAAACAATGCTAGTCTAGGAAAAAAATTTCTAGAAGTCTCCAGCATTAGTAGACTATGCGCCTATTGGAGGTTATAGTATTATTGTTAGTCGTCGTCTGCATGTTTCACATCGGAGCGTTCGGTAAACGGTTTTTCAAAGCCTAAACTATCATTTCAAATTCTTTAAATGAGGGAAGGTGTGTTTGGTTCCATCAAACAGCCTGCAGCAAGAAGAAGGTGAAAATTAGACACTGCAAGGGATACTACAATGTGGGGCTCTGCCAAGAAATGTGCGTTCGCAAGTTCAAAAATGAAAATTATCGAGACGGCTCTTTTTGTAATAAAGAAGAAATGTGCATTTGCAAGTAAGTTCACGAGTTCAGGGGTCAGAGCATCGATTTATGATTGACAGCGGGTATATTTTCTTTTTAGAATCAAGGAGGAAAAGGTGGAAGAGGAATAATTCTGTGAGACAGATGTTTCGGCAACTTTTTATAATATCTACGCGGAGAGAATATAAAATTGAAAATTACAATGAACATAGTAATCGAGGACTTTGCCGAAACAACATTGACATTTGATCGTCAAATTTGACACTCGTGTCAAATTAAATGTTTCTTTCTTTTTTGTTTTTTATGTTCTGACGTGGATACGTCCATGGTTTCAATATGGGGGGTGTCATTTCGAGAAACGATCCTTATGTGCAGCACCATCTATCGGAGTTCTAGAAAATTTTAGACATTTCGAGATAATTCGAGAAGTTTCTAAGAAATTCGAGAAAGAAGAAAAGACCATGGACGTATCCACGCACAATTATACCTGTATCGAAGATACAGCAGCCTGCAATTTTTTATTTTACTTTTACTTTTCCATGTTCTTAAAAAAAAACTTTGATAATAAGGTGAAATAAGGGATTTTGAGCCTCTGAACATCCCTCGTCGCTTTTACTATGTTCAGCAGTAAAAAATAATTTTCTGTTTTTTTCGCACCGATAGAAAGAATTAGTTATTGTTAACGAATGGATTTGATTGGAGACGGGGGTCTATTCGATCTCACCAAATGTTCATTTGTTAACAGTTAACAAATGCACATTTGGGGAGCCTTGTTTAACTCGATTTTCAATTTTCAAGTGAACCATTTGTTAACTATTAACGAATATTCATTTGGTCATATTCAACTCTACCGTTCGTTAATAGTTAACGAATCTCGTCTGGAATAAATGAATCAGTCTATCAGTGCGTGTAATTATATTATAGTCGAATTCGGAATTACATTAAGAGAAAAATGTAGTAAAATATGGTTTATTTTAAGTAAATTAATTTTATTTGAATCAAATAGCATTCAGTAGCGAAGTGGCAAACGTCGATTTTGACTATTGATCAGTTTTTGACGAATTTTTCGGAATCTAAAAGAGATACAAAAATTTTTGTTACGACCTTTTTTGTTGAGCCAACTGAGGGCTATAAAAAAGGTCATGAGCAAAATTTTGAAATCTCTCTTAGATTCCGAGATATTCATCAAACAATGGCTAAATGTCAAAATCGACTTGACCCGGTTTACCGCTTCGCTACTGAATTATTCATATCAATGAATATATTTTTTAAATACAAAAAAAACAGAAGAAATTCTTTGAACAAGGGAAGGTGTGACGATACGACTTATTCTGGAATTCCACATTTAATGTGAGATAATCCAAATATAATAGTGAATATCCATGATCATTTGTCTCGTTGATACTTCAGTCCTTTCACGTGCTTCATGACCTTGACGATTGCTTCTTTTATTATCCGTCGAACATGATGGAAATATAATAATAAATCCGCTGTTTTCAATCACATGTAACATTTGAGTTTTGGGGATGCAGAAGCTATCGTTCGACGCGATATAGCGTGGAACTGATATGAGTTATCGGAGAGCAAACAGAATTATAATAATGAGCTCATGTTAAGGCCTTCGATTAACCGCTTGCGGCAGTTTTGCTGAAACTGTCGCAGAGAGTTCAACATTTCTACAACATGACGCTATTGAGAGTGATTTTTGTAGTATTGATCGTTGCCTCCATTGCGGAGTCAGGGGTATTGGGTGAGTGAGCCTTTTACACGTACGACAAAATTTAATGGAATAATCTAGAAAATTTTATTGGATTTCTATTGAGCTTTTTATTAGTTTTTGGAAGTTTTATTGCAAAATTTCGCAGCTTATCATGCGCGTTTTTTTCAGTAGTGTTCAATGGAAAATTATTTACAGAAAACATGAATAGAATATTTATATAATATTTATATTTTTTTCTGTTTGATTTTTTTCACGAAACAAGAAGAAAAATCGAGTGAAATCGACATTTTCGATTAAAAAAAAATATTGATTTCAATCGTATCGACCAAAAAGTAATCGAACTTCAATAGAAATTCAGCACGATAAAAAAAATAGAAATTCAGTGAAATTTTCGATAAAATTCGTTAAATTTCATCCATTACTTGTCTCGATTTTTTAATCAAGCGATAGGTGAAATATCGGTGAGAGAATTTGAGAGGCTCACGAGGGAATGCCAAGATACGTGTTACAGACAAAAACAAAATCCTGCTTATTTGACTGGCTCTTACCTCGACTTGGAGAAGCACTACTGTCTTTGCCGGTTAGTCGACGAATTGAGTTATTTTAGATTTATTTCAGTTGGATCCACTTGTACTCACGATGAATAATATGTTTCGATTTCAGCCAAGGATAATGGTAATCCATCCGAAGATTTGAAGTGCTACTATTCTTGCCGAAACTGTCTCTCTTTAGTGTTAGGTTCAACTGAATTTGAATGATTTGAAATATGTGAAACAATGTGACCGGAATTTATCCAAAATATAATAAAATATTCCAATCTCCTGTTTAAGGAATTTCAAGGGACTTTTTCAGTAAAAATTCACAATTTGGCAAATTTCAGTTCATTTGTTCCGCAAAAATTGGTATAAATCAGGAAAATTCAGGTGAATATGTTCTTGAATTTTCAGATGATTGAAATTTCAACGCAATTTTATACAGAATATTTTTTTATGATAATATAAGACAATTCTTTTGAGAATTACAATGCAGAATTTGGAATTTTCCACTATCTGCAAAAACAGTGAAATATAATGGAATTCTCAGTGAAATTTGAAATCTCATCATTTTTTCCCTCAAATGGAATTCAAGGCCACTCTCCTGAAAATTACCATTCAACTGTCCGTGAAAATTATTATTTTTCTAATAGTGTAACCGCAACAAGTTGACTAGTTCCACAACTCAATCCCAATAAAATTTAATATTCAATGTCAACGAGTCGCAATCAAGTCTTTAATTCCGAAGTGATAATCTCCTCACGTCTAATCTCTCCAACCCTCAACCGTCATAAAGATAATGCTCCCAAATGTGCAACTACATCTCTCTCTCACCCCCCCCCCCTCCCCCCGAATAAAACACTCTCAATTTCTCCATTTCTCCGGAGAAATATCAACAAATTAAATATCGCATCCACCACAATTAATAGTCCTAGATAAGCAATTAATAGTTCTAGATAAGCATTAAGCAAAAAAATTAAAGTGCTATGGAGTTCATCGTCCAAACTCGGGGAATTGCAAATTTCTGTTCAAATATTCCGTGCAACCGCGCATCAACAGTTGACCAGTTCCGCAACTCAACTCTTCTACAACTCAACTCCAATAAAATTTCATATTCAATCTCAACGAGTACATCTCCATTTCACCCCAAGTTATCCGCAATCAAGCCTTCAATTACGAAGTGATAATCTCCTCACGTCTAATCTCTCCAACCCTCAATCGTCATAAAGATAATGCTCCCGAATATGCAACCACCCCGCCGCTCCCCCCTACCAATAAAACCCTCTCAATTTCTCCATTCCCCCGGAGAAATACCGACAAATTAAATACCTCATCCACCACAATTAATAGTTCTAGATACATTATCCAGCAATGAACCATTAAGCGAAAATATTAGAGTGCTATTGAGTTCGAATGTCGAGCGCAGAAACGGGCTCTGCAGGTTCTCTCCAACGCGTGCCAACGGATAATCCGGCAACTCCTCTCATTTCCAAGGTAAAACGAGGAATATTCGTTTTCTCTTGCATTGAAAATTTTCAATGTATACCCTCGACAGGTAATGCCCGTTGGTGCCGCGCACCNTTTTTTTTTTTTTTTTTTTTTTTTTTTTTTTTTTTTTTTTTTTTTTTTTTTTTTTTTTTTCTTCATTATCCGTGTGGTGCACATGGACAACACTCGCTGGGCCCCGTTGTTTATTTAGAGGACGACTCACTATAAACGATCCTGCAAATGGCCACACCGAGCATTATAACTGTCAGGCGTAACTCTTACTACTTCGTCCAAGGTGGACGTTGTTTTTTCTGACGCGCATGCGCACACACGCGTGTGACTGAGTGTAAAAAAATTACTCAGTGGAGAAATGCCGGTTTGAGATCTTTTACGGAGATGGTGAAGGGTTTTTAGATTTTATACGTCTCGATTCACCGCGATTATCATAAAAGACGAGTTCGAGACTGGAAAACGATTGCCAATTCGCATTACAATAAATTCAGGCTTATTTCTTCCGGTTTGAATTGCTTTTAGAGCTTTGGGAAAAAAATTATTTATCAATTTTGTTTTATTTCAATTTTTTTCCNGTTTGCGATTAAATTAGTTCTCTTGGGGGGGGGGGATTGTTTATTGCGATGTCGAACTTTGAGGGGGGGATATGACTCGGGGGTTCATGGGTCGGCGGGAGTTCATTGGCCAAATCCGGGAAATGGCAAATTCTGTGGAAATTAATAGAAATCAGGAAAATTCAGGGCAGTGTAATCTGGAATTTGTTGTTAATTGAAAATCCATGGGAATTTGATACTAAACATTCATGTTTTGACTGAAAATTCAGGCTGGAAAATTCTCCTCCACCTTTTTATGATTTTTTCCCCGAAATCAAATCCAATGTCGCCCTTCTGAAAATTATTACTAAACTACTCATGAAATTTCATTTTTTTACCTATAATGAAATCATAAATTCTCTATGAAAATCATTATCAATTTTGTTTTTTTCGCTACTTTGCGATTTTTTTCGCTACTCTGCGGTTCTCACCGGTGAATTATTTATTACGAACGTCTAATTTTTGTGGTGAAAAATATAACTGTGGGGTCCATGTGTCGCCGGGAATTTATTGGTCAAACCCGCAGGAATTGAATACCAATTTCGTCCATTAAAAGTCGGGTTTTTGAAGAGACACTCGTGTTTTGACTTTGGCAAAAAAAAAAGATGGAAATAAAAATAAACGAGGGGGAGAGGTTTTGATCGTTATCTCATCGCTGCAAGCAACTCAATCGATGGCCAGGGGGAATCAATCGTGTAGGCGTTCTTGTGGTGGAAGTGCTGTGAGATGTAGAAGATGAAAAATGAGGGGGGGCGGATACTGGCTGACAGCGAGAGGAAGAAGGAAGCCGGGTGTTGATGGTTGGTTTCAATGGTGAGTATATCCTTTGGGACGTGTTTCTCGGCGAACATCGGGCTCAGAAACTCAGCCGCTGGTTGAGGAGGTACGAGGGATCGCGTCATCGTTCCGCTATTTCCCGTCGGACACGCGACCCACCATTAATTTTCTCGTCACCGGCTATTTAGCCGGTCTGATCTCTCGGAGTTGTTTTTACGACCGCATTTTTTATAACCGGGATTTTCGGGGGACTTTTTGGCCTCGGGGTTTTGGTTACTTCTTGGGGTAATTTGTCGAGGGGCGAGTTATGGGAGAGGTCGGTTGAGGAAGAAATCAACAATTGGAAACAACTCATTCTAATTGGGAATCAAAATGTGCACGGAGAGAAATATTCAATAAAAATTACGTAATTTTTCCGTAATTCTGGAGAGAAATGCGGTTCTAGGAAATTTTACGGAACTGTTACGAAATTTTTCCAGAGCACTCCGTAATTTTTACCTGAATCTCCTGTGGTAAATTACGATACCGTCACTTGAATTTTCTGAGCCGATTCCGTAAACGGTGAGCGAATTGTGAGTTCCGTAATTTTTACTGAACATTTCTCTCCGTGTGGGGAAATACGGTGTAAAAAAAATTTAATTGAATTGAAAAAATCATGAAGTGTCGAATTTCACTGAAAATTCAATGATATTTCAGAGGAAATGTTACTTAATGCAAATTTACAAGAAAAAATTGAGGGAAATTCTCGAATTTTTAGGAAATTAACAGATTTTTTTTTTTAATCGGGAATATTCATGTCAAATTACTCAGGAAGTATGAGCTGTGGAGTTTCATGACATAAGGCAACTGTTATAAAAATAAAACTGAATATTCATCGTTATGACACAAGAAATTGCCTATTTTTATGGGAAACTGTAGAATTTTTAAAGCATTGAGAGACATATTTTTCCTGAAATAAGGAATATAAATTTTCAATTAGGAAACGTCAGAAGTCTCCATTTTTCTTATAATGAGGCAACTGTTTTAAAAATAAAACTGAACATTCATCGTTTTAACGTTCACAATTTTCAATTGTTATGGAAAACTGCAGATTTTGAAGACATTGAAAGAGGTCGTATTTTCTTTCGTGAAACAATGAAATGAAAATTGGAAAATGCAGGTAAAAGAAGTGGATAGTTCCGAACATATAACGCCCAAAATTCAGGAAATTTCTTTAACACATATTCCTCAGCGATTCTGTTCCTCTAAATATCTCAAAAACTGTTGAACCAATTAGAATTGTTCTCGAGGAGGAAAACCTACGCCTTAATGATGCCTATTTACACAGAGAAAGGTAAACATCCTTCTCAATATGTTTACAAACCGAATAATCGCTCTCTCATATTCCCTCAAAGCGGATTATGACGGAGTGCAACAGAGTGCAGTAGTCCCCAACTCCATAAAATCCCAGTGAAACAAACCGTGATGAAAACTCCTCACCTTTTCTTCCTGTGTTTGAAAATGAGAACTATTCAGCCCTTACAAACATGCCAAATAACACAGAGACAAATTTAAAATAGGGGAGGGTGGGGCAAAACGGGCCCCCTTCAATTGTCAATAACTTGTGAATGACATTGCGAAAATTCCCAGTTTCAACTTCATTTTGAAGATAATTTTTCATTCTTCAAAACGAGCTCTAACTCATCCCAATCGGATTATTGAATCGGAAAATATTGACGATTGAAAGGGGGCCGTTTTGCCCCATCCTCCCTTATGAATGAATTGAAGATACTCTCGGTGCACCTGTTACAAATTTGAGGAAATCCAAGTATCTCTTACAGTTTGGTGCAGACTGCACTATAGATTCAACCATTTTCAATCGATAAATTTGTCAATTGAATTGCATCTTACACAGAACTATCATTTTATTTAAACATTCGTTATTCATAAATAAGTAATCGAAATTGTTTAAAATTTTAGAAACCTTATTTTTTAGACGTGAAATAAATTTCTGGTAAAATTCTGATTATGAATAAATTTGTTATGATTCCGAACAAACAATTTTTAGGGTGGAAAATGATCGTAATTTTCCAAAAATTGCAATTTTCAAATGAACTTTCTATTTTTCGTCAGATTTAAAAAATGTTTTTTAATGGACAAATTTTTTTGATGCATCAAATTTGACAACAAATTGTAGAGCATTGCGAAATCAAGATACAAATGATTACGGGATTGTTTCTAAATGTACCTATGCCCTCAGCACCTGCTTTGGTAGCCAAAATTGATTGAATTTAGTGAATTAGAGGTTCCAGTTGGTTGCTCTTTATAGACTATTGAAAATTTTTGACTGGAAATTCCCGGGAACTCGTTCGAATTTTTTTCTCGCTCAAATTTCGCGTAATTTCGTTATTAAGAATTCGAAAAATAAATTAGTTGTTAAGTTTCAACAGCTAGTTGTTGAAATTCACCAAATAATTTTCTTCGTGCGTCCGCAATTTTTTTCCCAAAATATATCCGAGATATATCTCATATAATTTCAATACATAATCACCGGGAATGTTTTTTTTCCATATGGGTCGACAATATTAGAGGTACGCTGTTGAAATTTTTTTGAAATTTCACTGCAAATCTAGTGGTTATTCCCATGAAAGTGACATTGAATCCGATTTAAGAACAAAACAGTGATAAAATTTCAAGTTTTACCCAGAATTCAAGGAAATTCATAAGTTCTCAGTGTAAGTGAGACGGAAATCTCCCAACTTTTGATTGAATTTTCAATGAAACAAATATTCAGAAACAAAAAAATCTGAATTTTCAATTTTACCTTGAATTTCCCTGATGTCGAATTTTCACGGAATAATTGAACTGAAAAATCAATTATTCTATTGATTTTCAGTTTTAATTATCAGTTTTAATATTGGATGTCAGTTTTAATTATCAGAAAATCAATAGAATATTTCATTTTTCAATCACGAGATTTCCTGTTTTAATTTCATTAGAAATTAAACACGATAAAAATTTCCGGAATTTGACGCGAAAAATTCAGCCAAAAAAATTTTAACCGTGTAAACATTATTGCATCCTCCCGCATTAACCCATCAAAAGTGTCGGAAGCGCAGGAAAACGTCGTCCAAGTCCTACCGAACTTCTCCCATCCGCGTATATATAAACTGTGATGCACTCTTGTGCGCCCACGTTACTCGTCCCAGATACGATCTGGATATTATCCGGTTTACCCCCCCCCCTCCGCCGTCTACTCTAGTGTGCATCTGATCCCGGGAGTTATGCAGACGATTATTTCAACCCTAGAAGCACTTGAGTATCAGCGAGTGAAAATCCAGTGCAGCAATTACACAAATTCAACTGATCTGTAGTTCACTTGTTTCATTACTCACTCAGCGAACTCCGTGAAATTTGTCCGTTTCATACACTCGATTATTTTCCACCTGAAATACCCCATCATCAATCATTGGTTAATTAATTCGAATGTGAGATGAAAAAAAGAAATCATTTCCGCTTTGAAATTGACTATAAAGCTGTTGGGATGACATTACATGGGGACAGCCGATGGAATCAGAGAGGCATAAAGGAGGTAGAAACAAGCCTCGAAGTCAGGGCGGAAGGGTTTTGGTGGACCAAAAACAGTGGAAACGATCAAGGCGCCTGGAGCCACTAGACGTGACGCCGGGGCGACAACTAATTAGGCCTAAAAACCCGCCAAGGTGGCTTTCACGGGCCTTTGCCGCCGCCGTGAAACAACCTCCGATGGATGTCCATATGCCCACGGGTTCACATTTTTATTCTACCACCGGTGAATATCGGGGGAATAAAAGAACAGTCAACAGCGTTCATGAATTAACGTAACCGCAGGGATAAATATTATTCAGATTCTTTGGGTATTTTTAGATATTGTGGAAGTAAAAATTTTGGAATACTACGGGTGGGTAATTTTTTACGGTCAGAGATTAATTGTGTACAGCATGAAATTAATGAATTTTTTTAATGACATTTGAAGTGTAGAAAAGTATCGGAACTCACTCGAATCAATTTTTAAGGTCAAAGTGAATGAGGGGAATAATTTATTTGAATTGAAGAAACTTTGGTTGAATAGAGCAACTGAGTTTATTCAGATAGCTTTCAATGGGGGCTTCATTAGAACCCACACTTAGGGATGGTTTGAGTTCTCATTTACGTAAAATCGATAGTTTTTCAAATATAAATAAATGGTTTCTTGATCCAAACAAACGTCATCATTTTGAAATGGAGTTATTGTTTAGATGGGGAGGAGCACGAATTTGTTAACATTTAATTAATTGTTGATTCTATGTAATCAAAACATTTGGATTAAAATAAGTATATAAATTTCAGTACAACAGAACAATTTTAAATGAAAATTTCCTTTGAGATTTACACAAATCTGGATTTTTCTGCACACCGATGGAAATTTTTTGAAAATGAAACAATAGCTACTTTTGAATTCTCAATGTTGTGAATTTGAGTTCAATTTAAGATCAGGTCGTTGATTAATATTTCACTGACATCTAGAATTCTCAAACTCATTGCGTAATTGAAAATTGTTGCTTGAATTTTCAAATATTCAATAATTTTTATTGTCACATGAACGTAGTAATTGCAATCCCACTGAATACTCCAGAAATCAACTGATTTTTCAATATAAAATTGAAAATCAAGTAATTATTAAAAATTTCAAGATTTTTTGCTTGAAATTTCAGAAGTAATTTCCTAAGACTGCAAGAACAATCAAATTGTCTGAGAAAAACTGACCCAAATAACGACTTTATCATTCATAAATGACTAAATTGTTTGCACGGTGAAAGAACAAATTTATTCACTATTTATATTCCATAAAATTCAAATATTTTCAATCAATTCCCAACAAAAATATCTTTAAAATGAATACAAAAATTGAAAACAAAGAGTTTCACTCGATTCAAATGCATCATTCCTCAATATATAACCACTGAAGGCAGTCCGTTTTGCCCCACTACCCCCTATTTCTCGAGCAGCAGTAATTTGTGTCCTCCTTGCGTTCAGCAGAATGAATTAAAAAGACGTTCAGTTAAAAACCAACTGTTTTTTTCTATTAAAAAAATTAAAAACCGTGTTCTACATTTTGAAATGACATTTTTTCCTACTGATAATTTAATCAGAGCAACGATTTTCATTATCTGCATTCTCACTTCCGCCTATGAAATGCCCCCCCAGCCGTTTGAAAACCCAAGTATAAAGTGCATTTTATGAACAATAAAGAAATGAGAAAAAATATTCTACATTGTTAGAGGTGGGGACCTTGTGCGCCATACGATGACACTTGTCACTTACCCAACGTTATGCTAAAATTTATTGGGAAAAGAATGAACCGGTGTATAACACGCAAGCGATAAGGGAATAGTAAAAAAAATGCGCCGAGTGAGCCACAAAATAGATAGCATTGTCTCTCAGTGTTACTCACGGCGAAACATTACTTCGGGTTATGTATGTATGAGGGACATACTGCTTTATGGGGTGATAGGTAAAAATATCTTGCCTACGCAGAATCCTGTACAATTCCCATTGCATTTTCTTTGTCGTAGATAAGTGGGTAAAATAACTTGAGGGCTTTTGTCACTGGAATTTCAATGTAAAATTCATAATATTTTGATGGTGCTTGGAGGCAGGGGGGATATCCATGCAAACATGTTTTCTCCGCTGGTTGGGATGGGGTATTACTGCTCAAAATGGCCGACCACGGTGCAGGGGTAATATATGCATCCGGTTTTAATAAAATGAAAATATTAAAATGAATACAGTGGAGTTCTCAAAGGAAATTAGTCTGGCATGAATCTTTTTATTATTTGAAATATGTCTATTTATTGAGAGTTTTAATTTTATTCATAAAATTGTTTTGCCTTTGATTTAGATTTTTTTTTTGTTTTTGCAGTAGATTAAATTGATGTCGCCATGGGTATTCGTCGAATCCCGAGAGAACTTTTCGCAAATAATCATCCCTATTTATTATCATAAATTTCGGGAGTTATACAAAAGCTCTGTTGATTTTTAATTGTTTGGAATATTTGTTAATTCCTTAAGATTTTGAATTTCAGTCGAAAAATTGTCTCCACTTTGCGTAAAATAGTGGAATTCATCTCCATAAATTCTTACTTGTTTACAATATTTTTCAGTTTCTCAAAAATTCTATTGAATTCCTAGAATTGTCTTGCGTTTTGTGCAGGTTTCTTTGATTTTGATTAAAATAAAAATATTAAGGGTCATTAGATGGAATTGATGTCAACCAGGGTATCATTTCATCGAATCCCGAGAGAGCTTTTCACAAAAAAAATCACCCCTATTCATTACCATAAATTTCACGAACCATAAAAAAAGCTCTGTTGATTTTTAATTGTTTGAAATATTGTCTCCACTTTGAATAAAATAGTGGAATTAATCTCCATAAATTCCTGCTTGTTTAAAATATTTTTCAGTTTCTCAAGAATTCGATTGAGTCCCTAAATTGTCTTGCGTTTGATTTCAATTTTTTTGTTCTCTCATTAAAATAAAAACATTAACGATCATTAGATGAAATTGATATGAGCCATGTGTGTCAAATCATCGACTCCCAAGAGACGATAGTTGAAACAGTGAGAAATCCCCCTAATATAAAAAAACCTTAGAATTTTAGTAATTTAAAATGTTCGTGAATTTCTAAAAAATTAGCATATGATTCCGAAAATTGTCTACACTTTTCCTAACATAATGGATTTCATCCTCATAAAATCTCCTTTATTAAAAGCTTCTTCTTTCTCAAGAGTTCGACTCACTCCATAAAATAGTCTTGCCTTTGATTTTCCATTTTTAATTCTCCCGCTGCACTAAAAATACTAACGATCATTAGCTGAAATTGATGTGAGCCATGTGTGTAAATTGCCGACTCCCGCGAGCCTAGTTCACCGAGAAATCACCCCTATGGGAATAATCGGTAATTAACTCGATAGCACTTATCAGTGTGTCAAGCACCAGACACGTCCAGGCGTTATTGATAAACCAGCGGTGAAAAAAAAAAGTTGACTCACACAACAGTGACAGGGTCCCCTATCCCACGTAGCAAAAACCCCGCTATACCCCATCAACACGAGCACTGTCCCCTCATCGACATGATAATAATTACCAACAATTGTAAAAGCTCAAATTACTCACATTCAATTAATCCAATACTGTCATCACCACTGCAAGGGAGCATCCAACTCACCTCACCGCGATTGAATTCACGTTTCTCTCCCCAGTGGCTGTTGAATCGCGGCTCCTCCGGTTCCTTTCTAATTTGAATAATTAATTCACTGGTCCAGTAATGTGGGCGTGATTAATTAGTCGTGATTAATCGAGTTTCCGAGTCCACTGCCTTAAGGGGTCTGCTTTGAAATTTTTCTCACCACAGTTTATTTATTTATTACAATCACAATAAAATGATAATTAAATTTCTCCACACACTTGAGTTCTGATATAAAACAAAAAACGTAAAGTCTCCACTCCACAAGAACTTTGAACTTTTCTAGATATAATTATTTACGATGTGTCACACGTTGATATTTGATAAACTATCGATAAACTAATTGATCGACTGTTGGATAAAGCGTTAGTGGGGGGATATTATTGAATTTGGATGACTGAGAGGAGCTGAACGCAGTGCAGTCGTTGACTGCGCTTCTCTGACTGCCCTGGACAGTCACCTCAACGGAAAGAAAGGAGACGGAGGAGGAGAGGCCAGGAGGAGAGTAGCTGGTGGTGGTGTATTACCACCGTCGTTTAGCCTGGAGAAGGGGCTAGTCAGCGCTTTATCCCCGCTATATTCGTGGTAAAGAGGTATTAAAACACAGGCGTTTCCTCATTCACCTCTTCCCCAATGCCACGAGAGGCGGAGCTTTTGCACGCCTACACCCAGGACTCTCCATTCTCGTGGTTTGTTGGTATCTCTGTCTCACTCCGCGAGATTCGTCGTATGAGGGGAGAGGTATTTGCCACATCGACACGCCTATTTCGGTGGTGAATTTTTGTAAAATTTTGTTCAAGGGGAGACGGACCCCCTCTGGTTGTATCAAATTCTAGAATTGTTTTCTCCTGTAATTATTCATTTTTATCGATGAAAATACTTTATCGACTCGATTATTGCGTTGTTGTGTCAGTGAAGTAGTTTCGTGAATAAAAAATAATAATTGCAGGAGAAAACACAATTCTGAAAGTTCATAGAGACAGGGGTTCCGTTTCCCCTTAAGGTATAGCACAAGACAATCGGACCCAAAAATTAGTCACTATGGATTTTCGGGGAAAATTGTAAATTACTTGAGTTATTGCTTTCTTAGAAGTTATTGAGTTTTTCTATCCTCGTGTTTGAATCAAATGAGACATTATTTGTTAATTAATTTTTTGAATCAAATAAGAAATGCTTTCGCGAAATGTCCATTTTTTAGAGGTGAATATCGCGGAAACTATGGATTACAAAATTTTACAAAAAATTCACCGCATTCGGAATTTATCAGTCTATCACGGATTAAGTTTTTAGGAACATTGTCAGCACCGTTTTCTCATAAGGTGGAAAAATCGAACTCGGGGGGATCCATAATCCCCATTTGGCCGATGCCTTGCGTCTAAAAAGCCCGGATTTCATGATTTATTACCTCCTAAACTGCGTAGTACAGTTAATTAGGATTTTTTTAATGACTGGGGATTATTATAAATATTATCTGTGGGAAACATAGGGGAAATCTTGAGAAAATCGTGTTTTCAAGGGATATTCGACCGGTTTCACGAGACTCGAGGCGGCTTTCCTTTTTCAATTTGTTTGAGTTCAATTTTGAAAATTTTTCGTCTGGAATTCTGGACATTTTTTAGTTTCAATGAAATCCCAGGTGATCTCATTGTTGAAACATCAACATTCCATGAATTTCATAATGATAAATTATAAAAAACCTAATGGCTGTGAATTTTAGCTCAATTTTCCTGTGAAATTCAGTCAAATCATGAAAATTCAGACTATTCTGGTTCCGAATGTTCATAGTCAATTGAAAATTTTAAGTCAGTTGGGAAACTTACTTTCAACTTCTATTGGAAACGCGTGAATTTCCTTGATTTCTATCTTAAACTTAAACTTCGCAATGATTTTTTCCCTAAATTGAATTCAGTGTCGCAGTTATGAGCATTACTCCTAGATTTTCACTGAAAATTATCAGTAAGTAGAATATTTTGTCTGTGGAGTACTGATCATTCCTATTAATGAGTTAAAAAACTTGAAAATTCTCTGAACAGAATTGAATTGAAGACAACCCCAAAATTAACAGGATTCCGTCATTTTGAATTCACAAATTTATGGAAACACCACTGGACCCTATAAATTTCGGTTCAATTATTTCACGAAAATGCAAATGATTTGAGAAATTATTCTCCTCCTGCTGCTCACAAATTTAGAATTCCATTGAATTGTCAATAAAATTTGAAATTCTATCATTTTTCTCTCCTAAATTAAATTCAGTGTCGCTCCCCTAAAATTACTAATTACTAAACTGGCTGTGACATTGAAATTTGTTTAACGGTCAATCATTAATTTATATATCAACCTCCTCCAACAACAATCATTGTTCCAATCAATCCCAAGTGTAACAGTGATTGAAAATCACGAAAAAAATGTTCCACTCTTCAATTTCCATATATAAAATACCAGTTACATTCACCGCATCTCGGTAATTGTAGTATCTCCTGGAGTATGGATACATTACCAATTAATCTCGTTCTTTAATTACCAGCTGATAACACCCAGTGATTCGGAGCCTCCATATCTGCCTTTGGATACGCTGGCAAATACAAAATGGATTGTTTTGTACTACGAAAAATCTTTTGATTTTTCTGTCTCCCTCGAGATATAAATTATTTGAGAGAATCCATTATGGTTACGTTGTTTTGTTCAACGTTCGTGCGCTGGAGACATAAATAAGTAGCGTAGAGCAGTTTGTCCACTGGAGTAATAATTTATGAGCAATCGAAAAATAGTTAACCCACGCCCATATAGTCGATATCGATTTAGTCGGCCCATAGCTGTCTATCGATTGCGTGAGGCTAATGGGGTTGAATTTTTATTTCAGAGGAATAAGATGTTAAAAACGTTTTATGTCATTGATCAGAGAATTTCATTTGAATATACGGGGATTTGATAAATAATGAAATGTATTGAATAATATTCAAGAATTGCATAGTAAATTGAAAGAAATTTTCAGGAAATAGATTTAGGGAAGAAAAAGATGATGAGATTCTGAATATTTGAGCAACAGGAAGAAGTGAATTCCTCAATTTGCTTGAATTTTCAATGAAAATTTGAATCTACAGTAAAATTCAAGAATTTATTCACCGGAATTGTCCTGATTTCCATCAATTTTGATGGACTAATTGAACTGAACTCTCCAGTTTCCATTCATTTTTCCATCAAATCTCGGATCTTTAATGACGTAATTCCTTGAAATTTCAGTGGAACTGTCACTTGATAACAATTTGCAAAAGTGTACTGCAAATTTCAGTCAAAATTTTTTAGCTGTATAGTAATTTGTAGGAGAGTGACTCGGAATTTCGTTTGGATAGGACGAAACGATGAAATTTCAAATTTCACAGAGAATTCAATGAAATTCTAAATTTTGGAGCAGTTGGAAGACGAAAATTTTCCAACTAATTTTTTTCCCAACACAATTTTCAGTGAATTCAAAATTTTTAATTTGAAATTCTGAACTGAAAACTGATTTGAGAATTCCCATGATTTTTGTTGATTTTCATGAAGAATTGAACTGACATTCAGAATTTCCATTGGTTTTTCCATTAAATTGGCAATTTTAATTGACAAAATTCCTTGAAATTCTAACGAAGCTGAAACTTGAAAAAATAATGTCTGTAATTGAGGTCTCAAAAAGAGGGGACAAAAGTGCCTTAATTGAATCTTTGAGTCTTAATTCAAGACACTATTCTCCGTGTGATGACATTTGAGAAAATTTTCCAAGAAATTTCTGCCAATAATTTCTAATACGAGACTATTCTCCAATATTGAAACAACTCCAATCGTTAACGATTCTGACAACTACAAAATATGCGAATCGTACTAAAAATTCATGCTCTGGGAATCTGCCAACTGCCAATGAATTCAATTTTGACAATTCAAACTTTAAAATGGAATATGTTGATTGAATTGAGAGTTTTCTTTTTATCAATTTTCATTGAAGAATTCAACTGAAATTCACCAATGTAACGAGATAGACGAGACAAGATTCCTTCAAATTCCAACGAAACTGAACTGAGCCGAACCAATTCTTTGACTTTCAATTCAAGACACTATTTTCCCGTGTGATAACAATTAGTAACAATTTCCAATAAATTTCAGCCAACAATTTTTAACACTCTATACTCTACAAGAATATTCTCCAACATTGAAACAATTCCAATCATTAACGAATCAGCCAACTACCCATGAACAATTTTACGATTATTTAATTGACACAAAAACTTAGAATTATGGCACACTTAAAACCCGAGAAAATGTTGGATTTTCCAAGCTATACCCTCGATGCATTAAAACTAATGGACTGTCCCCTCGGGGAAATTAACGTCATCTGTGGAGAACATTCTCCGAGCCCTGGTGTCCGTGGAAAATATGACCCCCCTCTCGCTCCCCCGGTAGTCCGGAAACGGAGACAGGTAAAACCCCGCGTCCGAGATACGCATCTGGGAAGCGGAAGGCTTCCACTCTGCGTCGTTAGGGAGCGTGTAGCCTTCGTTTTTTCGTAACTCGTATTGCTGGACAACGGAAATTTACAGTGACAATCGTAAAAAAAGGATGAGGTCTAGAACGTCAATTTTTTTTCTGCCATAAATTTTGGGGATTGAGGGTTAGTGGCTAAATATTGTTGGGCGAGGAGGGCAATGGGAAATTGGGGCAGTCTTGTATCTTCGGGAGAATCGGGGAATCATCTGGGATGAGGTTTCTGGGGCTTTCGAGAGTGTAATGGAGATGCTCGTCAACGAAATATTATCGATAGCTCAATCTTGAGGGTTTCGTGGGGATTTCAGATACATTTTGGCTGTGTGTTGTCTTCAAAATTATGATTTCTTGCCAAGAAATCATGAAATTCGGTAAATTGATTCTGTTTTGGTAATTGGTGAGTCTTTGTTCCCATTTCTCTTCTCTGAATGTCCTGTTCTGTCTCCCAGTTCTAGAATTTTTCTTTATTTATTTCACTTTATTCCAAAAAATTGACGAACTTTGCAGCTGATGAATTTCTCGGGCCAGTTTCTCATATATTTTTTACCTATTCCTAATTTTTTATTGAACAATCGACGAACAGAAAACTATTTTGAATACTTCGCTGTTAAAAATTTTTGGCTCAAGGTTCTCATAAACTTTTTAGAAGTTTTTATCAAGTGAATGTACCACTGAAATTTTAAAGAACTGTGGCATTGAACATTCAGGACTTGATGAAAAAATTCATGAAAACTGGTAATTTCAGGTCAATCATTCCAAAAATACTCATAGAACTCAATTAATATTACGCTGAATTTTCAATTTAACTATTGGAAAAAGAAACAGAATTCTCTGTTTTTCAGCAAAACACGAATATTTGGTGCCATTGAAGATCCAAGAATATATTTACCTGCATTTTCCTGATTTCCGTTA